TCCCCTAGATGATCTCGTGCCGATTTGCCTGTTTGTCCTGTCGTGCAATCCTTGGTATGGCTGGTATGTTGGAAACTAACCCCATGTGGACTCGGGTATTACTGGCAATATTGCGTCATATCCACCCGGCAGCCCACCCATTATGTCTGTTGGCCGTTAGGGGAGATGTACGAGATGGCCGTGTCACTACTATCCTGGGTAGGCCTGTGCCGAATGATTGTCCGGCATTAACACGAATTCTATCAGCTATGACTTCCCTACCACAACCTGTCCTTCTGGATGCGCAACATCTAGCTCCGGGTCCTTGGTGTTACCATATCCCTCTTTGGGGAAACCCTTTGCTAAATGACGCTCAGTTGGACGAACATTTTGGTGATCTTAGAAATTTGCGTGGGTTAGATACCGTAGGTATGGCCGTACGATGCCACACAGCTATGTCGTCTACGTGGAATTTGGTGCGCATGGTTGGTGTACAAGGCCTTACTGAGGCGCAACACTTTCATTGTACGAATCTGTTTCGTACTATCGTGGTACGGGGCATATTAGGGCTTACGCCGAGGCATCCCCTGCCGGCATCGTGTCAGTCGGGGGCGACTGCCATAACGCGTATATCGCAACTTATCGACCGCCTACCCCCGCAATGGACCATAGCGGCGATAGTAGCTATTAATGACAGAAACCATGAAATACCGCCTCCGCAAGAGGCCTGGAGAAAATTGTCAAAAGCTTGGGATGGAGATTTGGTCAAGTGTTACTGCATTTCTCTCAAGTAACGGTTAAATTTGCGACGACTTTACTAATGGCACCTTCTTTACGAACGCTTGATATCAAACATGAAGATTTTATTTTGGATGCTGTTGATATCGTCTTATCGCCGGAGAACTTGGCCAATACTTTGTTGGAATTCCGTCGTACTTTGTCGCGCATGTGGAGACTTCGGTGGGATAACGAGCATAAAGAAGCCTTTTGGAGGCTGGCTCTTGATGGTTTCCCTGCCTTTCCTATGCATAGGGCGCAACGTCAAAGAGGTATCCCGGCTGCTATGTGCCCCTGTGGTGTACGCATGCTTTGTGGGGATCGTCGGCATCATTTCTGGGATTGTACTGTCGCGTTGGCTCTTCGTGAAGCTCTGCAAAACGAACTTGAGTTCCCTGACCTTTTCAACCGGGCTAACCTGTGGTTGGGCATTCCACCAACCTGGATTTGTTCGTGTGTATGGGAGGTTGTATGCCTCGCGGCCATCAGCTCACTCAATCTCGGTCGCCGCTTGTTGTTTAAGGAAGGTCTCCAGACCAACATGCCTATATCAACGCCATCGCTTAACCGCACTACATACGAGGTTATCTCTGACTTTTGGGCCCGTTTAACTGCTTTTGCGGCACGGGATTACTTGCCAAAACATTGGGATCATGTACCTCACAATCACCCTTTCTTATATGTCAATGACGCAGACATGGTTGCTTGCCGTTTACCGATATACAATGACGAAGTTTGAGGGCGCACGTCGGAGCCTCAATTTTTTGTTTAAGCGTACTAACTGAGGCCGTGTGTCCAGTGAAGTTAGTACGGCCTGGCCGAGTTCTTTTTGAATAAGGCCCACAGTGTTGTGCGGGAGGCGTTCCTATGGGCGCTGCACTCGACCCGTTCGGGGTCCACTGTAACAATCGCATCTCCAAACCGTTGAGACCCAGATCGGCCCAAACCGTTGACCCAGATCGGCCCAAGCCGTTGACCCAGATCGGCCCAAGCCGTTGACCCAGATCGGCCCAAACCGTTGACCCAGATCGGCCCAAACCGTTGACCCAGATCGGCCCAAACCGTTGAGACCCAGATCAGCCCAAACCGTTGAGACCCAGATCGGCCCAACCCGTTGACCCAGATCGGCCCAAACCGATGACCTAGATTGGCCCGAACCCTTGACCCAGATCGGCCCAAACTGTTGACCCAGATCGGCCCAAGCCGTTGAGACCCAGATCGGCCCAAGCCGTTGACCCAGATCGGCCCAAGCCGTTGACCCAGATCGGCCCAAGCCGTTGACCCAGATCGGCCCAAACCGTTGACCCAGATCGGCCCAAACCGTTGAGACCCAGATCAGCCCAAACCGTTGAGACCCAGATCGGCCCAACCCGTTGACCCAGATCGGCCCAACCCGTTGACCCAGATCGGCCCAACCCGTTGACCCAGATCGGCCCAAACCGTTGACCTAGATTTGCCCGAACCATTGACCCAGATCGGCCCAAACCGTTGACCCAGATCGGCCCAAACCGACCGAAGTTGACCCAGATCAAACCAGGCCAATAAGACATGACCCAAACCAACCCAATCCAATACAGTCCACTCCATTCCGACTCAAGTTAGCCCGTGTTTTAATCCAACCCAAATAACCGTACCCCAGTTCACACCGTCTTTTAAAATCAATCCCAGTTCAGATCCAATCTGAGTTCAAAACCGGCAAAGTTTAGACCAATCCTGTCCAGTCCTTAGACAATCCAATCCAATCCAGCCGGACCCACATCAGCAATTGTAAAACCCAACCCAACTATAAGCTCAACCTCCACTGTAAATACACGTACCCACGTACCCGGTACGCCACGGCATTGCTCCCCGCGCCGAGAACCTCCTCGATGATGTACTTGCCGCCACCCACAACTCGACCCGGCTCCAGGGGAACCACTGGATAGGGCCACGAGACGCGCCGTAAATTCCGGAAATGTAAACTGTTTACCGATAATGATTATCTCGTTGTAAACCGCGCGGGAGGGAAGCGACATGAAAATTGATTCAGAATGAGCACTATAGTGGCCTTGGTAACAGCGAATGAGCGGGGGATCGAAGAGGGAGTTCTGCTCAAGTGCAAGAGAAGGCTACGACAGCGGTGAAGGGCTTTTACGGGGACTCGAAGGATGAAGAGCTGCTAAGGCTTTGTAGGGAGGGTTGCTGGCCGCCATCCAACACCCAGGACACAGCCAAGAATCTCTCATCATCCTTACATTTGAATATGCAGGGTGGTCAGAGACATCGGGTCAAATCCCCCGATGCTACTATCTTGGACACACGCAGTCACACACCCAACTACCTTTGCAACGCGCAGGCAAAGATTTGCTTATTTGCTTGAGAAAGGAGCACCGCGGGATTTGACCCGAGCAAGAAACACCGTAGCCAGCCCCGGCTTTAGCCATGTTGCCATCCGTCCAATCAATGTTCGAGTTACCCTGGCGCCTCGCAGGTCCGCAGGTCTCGGTAAGTAGGCTTCGCCGGGCTGTGATAGGTGTCTGTGTCTCTAATTGAATTGCCTCTGGGGTTGTGCTGTGTCTCTAATTGGATTGCCTCCGAAACTCCTCCCCTGTTTTTGATCGTGTCAAGTCCAGTTCTGCTTATTTCATCTGCCGTAACCATTCAATGTAGTAACCTGCTTCCTTCAGATGTCCTACCTGGTCCCGCTGGGAACTGCAACTGTGACGGAGGCGCTCCGCGGGAGCTAGGTCCTGGCGCTGCTGAGGCCGTTGACTGCGCCCCCGGCGAGCCCTCGGGTGCAGCGCTAGAGTTTAAAATGTGGAGGGAAACACGATGGCGGTCTGGGGCATCCGAGCGCGGCAGGGGCAAGCCAGGCCAGGTAGCAGGGCATCAGATGACGTGAAGCCGATGGCTGGAAACGAAGCATGATAGCCGCGAGGTTTATTGGACAGGTAAACCTGTGCGGTATACTGTGATATGCATCAAGTCGAAGGCAGCAAGAGCTGAAGCTAAGTAAGTTCAGTTCAGCAAAATAGCGCGGCAGGGAAGGCCGGCGAAGGCAAGAGCAATCCGTCGAAAAGGATGAATAAATAGCGCTTTACCTATTGGAGTGTGGTTTCGTGGATTTGCTATCCATTTGCAGCTCCGCGAGTAAGGGCAAGGCGAGCTGAAATCTGAAGCTATGCGCCAACCCACACGGGAATGACGGCCGGCTAGCAAAGCCATTAGCGGCAGACTGGGTATGTGTCTTTAATTGTTCAAGCTTTTGTAACACAGCGGGTCCGGAATTATACGTTGCTCCAGGTTGTGCCACGAGCTCTGGAGTACTTTCAACAGAGTTTGTCCACTAGTAAAACAGTTATGTAACCCATTGAATTACGGTAAAGCGACAATCGCCTCATTGAAGGACAAGGTTTATTGATTAACGGGTGTCACCGGATACCGTACGGTCCCGTACGTAACGCGGACTTACCTCCTAACGTTGGTTGCAAAATGATGCCATGCACGAGATATTGCCATATGAGATTTTGATCCAGGAATCATACCATGGGAAGGGAATTCTTGTCTTTTGCATCAAGCAACACGGTAAATATAGCACTGTAGAGCACTATAAGAGAGGCGCGTGCCTGTACTGGAGCGCTCGTTTCTGTGTCAAAGCGGGACGATGACCACGCCGGGTGAACCTTGATGTAACGCATGCTAAGAGCGGCAAAAAGTGCTTTTTATGCAGTGTTTTGTACTGTAGTCCCTTTACGTCGTTAAACTAGAAAAGTCGATCAAACGCGCGCTTCTTCTGTGAACGACTGTGCAGTCTCCATAAAATAGTAATGGTGACAGGAATCATTAAATAATTTAAATATTATGTTATATACGGTCTTCACCGAATGTTGTCTTGTCTTGTCTTGCAATATTCTTAATCGGCGCACGGTCCAGGAGTAGGCAGGGGTAGGCTGGAGTGCACTGCAACGGAGCGCCCAGACGGCACGTACGGCGTTGCAAATGCTTGTCGTTTCTTTGTAGCTTGTAGGTTCGGGACCCTCGCATCGCGACTCAATTCGTAGGGACTCTGCTGGGCACATGCACTTTTGAGCTAGTTGCGGGGCACAGGCGGCCTCTGTCACCGCGCTTATTGCCCTTGTGCCACGCTGCTGTGCACCTAATAACCGGACAGGGTCCTGCGCCTATCGATCAGCTAGTATACGCTTTGTGTCGTACATTTGTACGGCAACTGATGTGTAACATGTTCGGTGCACGCTAAAAGAATATCAGGAAGGACCGCAGATGGTGGGATGCGCCCCTTCATGATGTCTGATGGGATGCAAGAGCATTTGTTGTAGGAGAAGATTCTGTGCAGCAATTAGTTTGCTGGCGACTCCGAAGGAATATGGAAGGATTTTAACGATTCAATGGAAACCCAAGCCGAGGAGCGTGCTTCCGTTGCTTCTTTCCCCCCCCTCCTCCTCACGAAGGTGAAGCTGCTATGAACTACGTCCGAAGTAGCCATTCCCCACCGTGAATTCCCAGCATCAGCAGGTATACGAAACAGGAATGCGGTAACATTTGAATATGGTAATTCAAATGTCGAAAGGTTAGTGGTGTTTCGGGAACAAAGGGAAATCTCAACGCAATATTAGCGGTAGCAGCAGCGGCAGCAGCAGAAGAAAACTGTAGACAGCATGCGTCCCCTTTGAAAGCATCGCGTCAAGTACGTTATACTTCACACCACTGTGTTTTGAACTGGTAGTATAAACCCTAAGCCGCCTGAAGTATATCCGTGTAACAAAAAATGCCGTCATTTGGAGGATGCGATTGTTACAGTGGACCCCGAACGGGTCGAGTGCAACGCCCATAGGAGCGCCTCCCGCACAACACTGTGGGCCTTATTCAAAAAGAACTCGGCCAGGCCGTACTAACTTCACTGGACACACGGCCTCAGTTAGTACGCTTAAACAGAAAATAGAGGCTCAGACGTGCGCCCTCAAACTTCGTCATTGTACATCGGTATACGGCAAACAACCATGTCTGCGTCGTTGACATATAAGAAAGGGTGATTGTGAGGTACATGATCCCAATGTTTTGGCAAGTAGTCCCGTGCCGCAAAAGCAGTTAAACGGGCCCAAAAGTCAGAGATAACCTCGTAAGTAATGCGGTTAAGCGATGGCGTTGATATAGGCATGTTGGTCTGGAGGCCTTCCCTAAACAACAAACGGCGACCGAGATTGAGTGAGCTGATGGCCGCGAGGCATACAACCTCCCATACACATTTGGAGTCGGCGCTCACCCGCGTACCGAATCGAGAGATTGTGTCACGGATCCTGCACACAGTTCTGGGCTTCGATGTAAAACATGAGAACGCTAGCGACAGGTACACATTCCGGAAAAAAATGATGGATGAAGTTAACTGGAGCTGGCAGCGACGCCTCATAGTTGAAACTTGATGACAGCATTATCGGCATCCAGCAAGAAAGAGCATAATAATTGTGTCACAGGTTCCTGTGGGCCTGCTGGCCGACTACTGCAGACCGTGCCAATTAATCCCAATTGGTGGCCACCACGTAAGCGATTCATTACCTGGATTGCGGAAGGCATTGCTGTGCTTCAGTGCTGACTGGCCAGGAAGGCCTGTATAGTTGGTAACGGGGAGGTTGGGATCTTGGGAACTTGCGAAGCTGTCATTAGAGGCGGTTGCTTGTCAGTTTGTACTGAGTCTTCTGGTTGCTGCTGCATGTTGATTAAGTGCTCGTCCTGTAGTGTAGTACGGCAAGTGCGGCGCGGGAGGAGCAGACCGGAATTGGCCAGAGGACAGTGACTGATACGGTAGTGCGTTACAAAGATTAGCTGGGAACAAAGCGCTGAATCCAGACAACGCTAGTTCGCCAGTCAACCGTGCAAGCAAGCGCAAGTCAGAACGTCGTCTGTTGGGGATTTTGAATTGTTTAAATAGTGATTTACTTTGTATTCGGGACCCAGCTCAATAGTAAAGTAGATAAGGCGATTTGACGTTGCTGGCATATCGGTCGCCAGTAACAGCGAAGTGATGGCAGAGCGCGAGCAATCGCGCGGCGGAGGCCAAGAAGGCTTGGAGGACATCCTCCAACAGCGGGACGAAGGAGGACACCAGAATGGCGGAGCACCTAGTTACCCGGAGGGGGCCGATGCGGTGAGTAACAGACGCCAGCTATTGCTCCGCGCGGTCAGACTGTAGGCACAGCCAGCCGCCGCAAGTTCTGTTATATCAAAGGCATGGGAGAGACCGGACCCAGTTTTAAAATAGCGGGAAAGGGATGCGCCGCCGCTGTTGTTTGACCAGGCTGGATTAGAAGCTACGGGTCAGGCTTAGCTTATGAAGAACACGAATCTGTAGACCGCGAGTGGCCGACTCAGAGTATTAGTGCTCGTGAGGTTGGGTCCGTTTCCGGTGGATGGCGCCGCGGCAGAGGGGTAGTTGCTTTGAGATGGCGCAGCGGGGTCTGTTATCCCAACGGGTCCCTGTCCTGAAAGCAGCCAAAAGCCCGCAATAGCGCCT